AAATATGTGGACAAAGTTTATGAAAATTAATGGTTTTTTTTTGTTCGATTAAACAAAAATTAAAATACATTTTTTATAATTTCCCTATATCATATGATTTTTTTTTTTTTTTTAACAAGATATCGTATGATATTTACACCAAACAAAACCAACGATCTACAGCAATTCCTATCAATTAGATGGATGACAATGAAGTTGAGTGGATCCCCACCAACAATATCATTATTTGTAGTGTTTCTCCGACTCTCCACCCGTCACCATCGAACTCAACGATACACCCAAACTTGTTATTTTCACCATTTGTATCATCTATTCAGCGTGATGGGGATAAAGGCAACCAGTTGAAACGCTTTTTATGCTGTAATGCATATTGTAACTTTTTTGAGGAGAGCGAAGGTTCAACCTTTTCGTTTGTGTTTCCGTTTAGGAGGGCCCGGCTTTGTCAGTGTTTTAAAGCCCGACGATTTTCGATCTGGATCTTTTATTTGGTAAATTGGCGTTTCAAAATCCCGTCGAAAGATGTAGTTCAAATGTTAGTGAGATTGGAGCAACTTGTAAATCTACAAATGTCACATATCTATGAAAAGTTGAATTGAACGGCATAGAAAACGTGTTACAACCATACGAACTTTAGAACTTGAAAAATCTTTTTAGATCCATCATTTTTTAGGCCAAGATGATAAATTCACAAGTTTTCCCATGTCAAACTTCACTTCCCTATAGAATTTAAGGCTCTACAAAATGCTCTTAAATTACGGGATTATCTATAAAGATACCATTTATTTTTGTACATGGGGGTCGCTATCATTATCACTCGTATCAAATTGGATGGCTTTGGGAGAGTCACGAAGTCGGAGATTTTTTTTTTTTGAAACCTTGAAATTTATTCAATGATACTCTTATAATTACCCATTTTGAAATTTAAGAGACAAGATTGATAATGACCTCCGCATACAAAAGATGAATGGTCTCTTTGTAGTCAATCCCTTAAATTAGAGGATTAAGACCCAAGTTGATACCTTAAATCTCACATTAAATTACTAAATCCTCCCCTCAAATCATCAAATGTATGGTGATCCCGTAAGATTTTCCCTTACCGGTCCATGGATAAGCTGCTAACGTCATATGACCTAAACACCATTAACCTCCCTTTAATTTAGTTCATGAAAATGTAAATAAATAAGGTATCGAGAAATTTATCAATCGACACCTAAGATTTGAACTATTTAACAATCTTTTGATCCTATGTAAAAGAACCTATAATTTTTTGTCAAATTTCATATCGCCCATGACACATCCATAAAGTTTTGAATCATCAAATTATGCATACGTATCTCGTATGTATAATTCAACTTTTAAGTGTATTTTGACGAATTTTCATAAGAAATTATCTCCAATAAAACAAAACAAAACAAAATATGTTTTTGGCAACCATTTTGTTGGAGAAAATGAAGTCTGGCATACCGTTAAAAAAAAAGGGAGTGTGGTGTTAGATCACCAACCAAGGGGAAGGCCACATTTAATCATCACACATTGTTGGAAAGTAGCTGGGCGGTTCCACCTCCTAAACGGACGGTGGGGATTTTCAGAGCTCTGAGTCGTTTAAGGACGTGAAGGGCGTTGGCAAATCGAGTGGGGCGGCTATAAGAAATAGGATGAAGTAGCTATAACAAATATGATAAATGAGTAATGAGAGAGAGAGAGAGAGAGAGAGAGAGACTTGAAAGTTGCCCTTGAAATGATAATTGTGTTCACATTGAGAGAGAGAGAGAGAGAGAGAGTGGGCCAATGTGAGGCTGTATTGCATTATGCAAGATTCAAACTAGGTTTCAGCTCTTAAATAGTCAACAGTTGTATGCTCCACGTGAGCATACAGTACATTCACTCCCTTGGATAATACTTCAAGTAAGAAAAAAATTATTCACACATCGAAGCTCGTTTTTCTACTGAAATCAAAGCCTTTCGATCAAAGCCTTTCGATCAAATTCAGGTAGAGAGTATTTGAGTGGGATGTTTCAAAAATAATAATTTATAAAGAAAATACTCAGCACCAAAGATCTTGTCCATATACTCTTAAACAAAATAGTATTGTTGAAAGCAAAAATGATCACATCTTAAAAACTGCATGTGTCTTCGCTTGTCAACTTTAGTTCCAAAGTTTTTATGGGCAGAAATTGTTCGCACAACTATTTATGTTCTCTCAACCCCCAGATCATTCTACTCTCTATGTTTTTTTGCTGAACTTGTTTTGTCCTGTTGTCAGTATTTGAGTGGGATAAAATGTTAGCTAAAGCAATTAAATGTTGTTTTTTAGGTTCTCATGACCACCAAAAGGGATGTAGATCTTATAACCCCATGACTAATAAACTTTTGGTATCCCGACATATTGTATTTTTTGAATATATTTATTTTCACTCCCATCCACGTGCTGCTAACTCCTCTTCCACTTATTTTCTTGTCCCTTTCTATGATGGTGTTTCTGTTGTATCTAGAACCTCACCCATACCTCCTACAAATGGTCCGATTGTAGATCACTCAACTGCAACTGATGAACTACTTCAAGCACCTACACATGCTGCTCTTGTACGAGCATCTTTTATCCGATGTAGTACTCGTGTTACTTGCTCGTTGTTGACTATGAAACCTTTTTACCAAAGCATCGGGCCTTTTTTGTTTTCGTTCATTCTTACTCTGAGCTGTAAACTTATGAGGAATCTGTCAAACAACCCCAGCGGCAAAATGCCATAATAGAAGAATTGACTGCCCTTAGCAGAATGCATGCTTGGGATCTTGTTCCTCTTCCTAAAGATAAAAGTGCAATTGGGTATACCAAATCAAAACTAAAGTTAAAGGCAGTGTCGAGTGCTATAAGGCACGGCTTGTGGCTAATGGTTATAATCAACACTTTGGGATTGATTTTGTTTAAACATTTGCACATGTTGCCCACATGATTACAATTCGCACTTTGATTTCTGCTGTTATCGTTTACCAATGTCCACTTTATCAACTCGATATAAAAAATGCATTTATTACTGGAGACCTTGTAACATTATCTCGTGGGGTTTTTAATCCTGACAATAGAGTTTGTTGACTACAATGTGCACTTTATGGGCTTAAACAAGCTCCTCGTGCTTGGTTTAAAATTTTAATTTGCAGTTGTCTCTGCAAGTTTTCGACAAAGTCATTATGACCCTGCCATGTTGGTCTCAGTCACACCTAGAGGATATGCAATTCTCCTACTCTATATTGATGATATGATTATTTCTGATGATGGTGAGGCCACCATTCATCCAATCAAGCAGCAACTTGGTCAGCTATTTGAGATGAAAGATTTGATATTATTAAAATGTTTTTTGGGCCTCGAAGTTGCTTAATCTCCTCATGGGTATTTGCTTGCTCAACTTAAGTATGCTTCAGATATTATTTCTCAAGCTCATCTGGATGATGATACAAAGCATGTTGATACAACCACTTAGCTGAATGTCAAAATGCGTTCTACAGATGGTGAGCTCCTTCCTAATCCTATGTTTTATAGGCAGTTTGTTGGAAGCTTGATTTTTTAACTCTCTCTCACCCAGACATTGCTTACATTGTTCATCTTGTCAGTCAATTCTTAAGTATTCATCGTTTTGTCAACCTAGCAGTTGTTTTGCGTATTCTTCGTTATATATGAGACACATTTGATTGTGCTTTGTTGTTTGCTTCATCTTCTACTCTCGAGCTTTGTGTTTACACAGTCTAATTTTGTCGGAGGCACTATCGATCAAAAGTCGACTACATATTTTTGTATTTTTCTTGGTGACCCCTTCTTTCTTGGGAAGAGCAAGAAGAACAAAACCATATCACTTTGTCCACAACTGAAGTTAAGTATTGAGCCATGGCTCAAATATCAGTGGAGATTATCAGGCTTCGTTGGTTAATAGCTCAGTTGAGTGTGGAACTTTCTATTTTCACTCCCTTATATTGTGATTAAGTGTGATTTATATGGCTAAGAGCCAGGAGTTTCATGAGCGCGCCAAGCATGTTGAAGTATATTGTCACTTTCTTCGACATGAATATTTAGCTGGAACAATCTCTCTGCTAAATATCTCATATTCCGCATTGCTTGCTGAGTTCTTTACGAAATCTCATAATGCTCATTGTTTCTAAAACTCTCAATTGTTTGCTTCCAACCACCCCGAGCTCGATGGGGAGTATGAAATTGTGTATATTTACTTTCTTTTATTTTGTAAATAGAAAGGCTGTATTAGGTTTTGTTTTCCTTTTTGGTGCATCACATAGGCTGTATAATGTAACCATCTTTGTATAAAGAATGGGAATTTCTCCTATAAGTTGAATACAAAAATAGAGATTTCTCGCACAAATATGGGCGTCTAAAAGCTTAAAATATCATTTTCTGATATTCAATTGATTTGATGATTCTAAAATGGACTCAAAAATTTCAAATAAAAAAAATCTACCGAGTAGGTTTTTTTTTTTTGGGTAAGTACAGAGTAGGTATTTTGCAATGTATATGCGCTCTTTCATAAACAGATGATATTATAGAAGCACTAATGGAAAAAAATTATTTTATGTAGAAAGGTAAGGGGGATCTTTTAATCTTATGTGCGTGTTGGTCAACCAAAAGATATTGAATTCCATGAGCATCGAAGGAGCATGAAACCATTCTCACGACGCTTCTTTTGACTAGCTGATTAGAAACTTACATATGCTAAAATTGCATATCGGCCATTTGGCTAATGCAATCATTAATTTCATTTGACCACTACAAGCCCTACCCAATAATCACATGAAAAAATAAAAAAAAAAAATAAAAAAAAAAAAATAATATAATATATATATATATATATATATATATATACTAAACTAACTAAGTAGGTTAGTAAGAGAGAAGAAGGTAAGTAGAACTACAACTAACACCACCCACCCACCTACGACGGAGGAGGAGAGACGTAGAGAGAGAGTGAGAAGAAG